CCCCTGTTTGGGGTAGGATATCAATAAAGCACCCACAAATCTGATCCATGTGTCGATCAGGAGTCGGTGTCTGTAGCTTAGGCGTCGAGAACGCGCTTCAGTTCGATCCCAGCTTCTGACGGTTTGTCCTGCGTTGGTTTCGACAGTGGTATCGAGAGCCGACCGTACAGAGGGCAATGACAAACTACTGAACATACATTTGCCTAGAAAAACCACAATAGCCAAAAAATGCTAAGTTTGGTTCTGCAACGTCCTGTATAGGTTACGCAGCTAACTTATGTCTCTCAGGGAACTCTCAGTTTGACACGCCTGACTTCGACCTTTTGAAAACAAAAATGTGTTCCAAAAATGTTCTAACGGGGTAGGGACACACCCCTTTGATAAAACCATCTCGTGAAGCTTGCACGAGATTACCCGACGACATCCGGGCCCCGTAGATGCACGCATGCGCACCAACAGTGGTGTCGTCGTTGAGAATTGAGAGAGTTGAAGACAAAACTTGTCCGTGTAAGTTTCTCTACAATTCTTTCCCGTCTTGTCTCAGTTCTTGTTAGTTTCTTGTGTCTTCGCCCCCTTCTGGCCACCTGTCACGGCTAGGTACTTCTCTGTCGTGTCACACGGTGAAACAACAACTGTCCCTTGTTCTTAGGTGCAGTCGTTGAAGACAGCGACAATAATTATTTCCCGTCTCTGGTCTCACTTCAGTCATCAGTGAAAACTTCAGTTCTTCCACAACAGTCTACTTCTCTATCCTATTTCAAAACTAAAAGAAGACACCGTCGGTAGCTCTTATCGTGATAATTTTTCTGTATCGTAGGACAGATGGATGTTTTCATCGTAGGTTGTCAAAGTGATGAGTGATTTCATGACAAATGCAAGAGGACAGAGGGAGAGTAGTGTTCGACTGTTGCTGCTGCGTTTTTTTCTTGCACTAATATTTATATTGTCAAATGATTATGATACCGCATATATATATATTTTACTTCATGTAAAGATGGTGTGGCTGAAATAAGTACTTCACTTCTGTAAATGTAAAATAAACTTGTTTAAGGTTTTGAAAGAATCATTTCCCCAGTCAGTTAACTCTTAACTTGAAAGTGACTCACGAGAGAATGATTTTGTGGCTGATGGTCACATAAAAACGGGATTTGTGTGTGTGTATGGGAATGTCCATGTTCCTGACTAAACTGTTGTTAATTACATCATTTACCAGGGATGTTTTACTGCAGCAAATATGGATTTTTCTTATTAATTCAAGAAGGATACTTTTGCAGTTATGTTTTTATGATGCTTATGAAAAATAAACTGTTTGTCAGCAAGACCAGGAATTAAAACAGGAAGTGGGGAAGAAGCTGGGAATCTCAGTCACTCAGTTTTTCCTCTTTTGCCTTGGATATAAGGGTAGCTTAGTTTTCATTTAAGAAAGATAGATGTAGAGAGAATTTCAGATTGTTTTCATTTGTCCAGAACAAGTACTAAAGCTTGGGGATCAAACACCGACAAGTGAAAGTGAGTGTGCAGCCACTTTGCCTACTAGACCACTGTTTTATTATGTTGAACTTGTTGGCTTTATTGCATTTGGTCATACCAATATGTGCTGTCTCTAGTAGACAAAATAATTCTTCTTCATGTACAGTCCATCGGAATGTTCTGGTTGTTTGTCCATCTCTGGACTTTAGTCTTGTTTTAGAACCCGATTGTTGCCTGTACATCTGTCTCACAGATCTGACTTATTTCTTTATCTTACATCAAATTTATCAGCTGTAAACTCCTGTGGAAAATTATGGTTGTTTGTCCACCTCTGGACTTTAGCCTTGTTCCAGAACCTGAGTGTTGCATGCACATCCGTTAAACAGATCTGACTTAATTGTATGCAGATTTGTTAGGTTCCTTGCCTCTTAGGCAAATGCACTAAGACTTTGAAGGAAGCTCCCAATTAGTAGACTGACGTCATGTTTGTTTTCCCAACGAGGCCCCTTGAATCCATTCAGAGAGTAAAACAGTTTGTATAATTTAAAAAAACAAGCAACTGTTCAAAAAATGTTTACTGGATAGTGTTGTGGTATTGATCATATTACCCACAGAATGCCGATCCGTCTATACAAATATTTGTCGCATGATAGGTCTGGTGCCGAACAGGTGTTAAAAAGGGGTCCTCGACTTTACTTGCTTTTTAGATACAGGCAGAAAAACAAAATGGCCGAAAAAAAAAAAAATAAACATAGACGCCAAATAGCAGAAGTAGTTAAATGACATACCTTCCTTCTGTACATGTACCTAGATTTGTGGGCTGAGACTTGCTCTTCTGCCTGTCATTTAGGCGCTGCTGTTGAAACACAACTTATCAGTTGTACCTCATCATTATGGGGGCTGACGTCTTAACGGCTAGACGCTCGCCTGCGGATCGGAAGGTAGTGGGTTAGGTCCCTGACGAAGGCCAGATTTTATCCAAAATGACATTGGCTCACAGGTCAACCTAGTCTTGAATGGGTACCAGATGCAGTCCTGGAAAGTAAAGGCGGCCGGGGCGATGCTGACCACATCACCCTCCAAGTGCCGTTTGGTAAATAAAATAGATCTAGCCCTATGTGCCTCTTACGCCTGAAAGGAGTGGAAAAGGGTCCTTTACTTTATTTTACATTACCTGGTAAATGTATGGGGCCATTGTTGGCCGCCTCACACGATTATTGATCCAGTCAGTGTTATTGTCCCGCCCAAGCTGTGGTGTCATTGGGGGTCTTCATGGCAGGGTGGTCAAGCCATTTACCTCTCACTGTGAAGTTCTGGGTTTGTCTCATGGCTGCCTCATTCATTTCATGGGTGCAGTTTTTGCGGAGTTCCCTGAGGATTGTTGCCGGAGCTACAGTGTTCATGCTTTGTTTGTGACACTCTCTGCAGAACAACCATCATTTTCTGCCAGAGTTTACAGCAGGTGAACGCAAAGAAGACATTTTTTTCTTCGTTCTTTTATGTTGATCTGTGGGAGCCGCTATGATGTAGTGACTTGACACTCATCTGTGGATCGAAAGGTCATGGGTTTGAGCCCTGACGGAGCTGAACTTATTCAGTACCTTGGCTGCCTTGATTGAGTACCAGGTGTAGTCTTGGGAAGTGAAGGCGGCCGGCATGGTGTTGACCACATTGCTCACTGGGCGCTGATTGGTCTATAGAATACAGGTCTAGCCCTGTATGCCCTATACGCCTGAAGGCGTGGACAATTATCCTTTACTTCAATAGGTTGCTGTCTGACTTCAGAGTTTAGTGAAGTCATTGTACAGTGCAAACATTGACATACCATGGTTTGATTCCCAAGGCATGTGGTTTAGAAAAAGACAGCTCTCGTGGCTGTCTGACAGTGGTACTAGAGCAGTGGTTCTCCAAATTCCTAAATGCGGCGACCCTTTAACACAGTTCCTCGTGGTGTGGCGACCCCCAACCAAATACATTTTCGTTGCTACTTCATAACTTCAGTGAATATGTGTATTCGGATGGTCTTAGGCGACCCTTGTGAAAGGGTTGTTAGACCTCTAAAGGATCATGACCCACAGGTGGAGAACCACTGTACTAGAGTCTCACTGTGGAAGTGATTGGAGCCTCACCAAGTAATATACCCACTCAATGAGCATGCTTCTTCTTCTTCTTCTTTCATTCGCCTGACATAAGTTGTCTATATCAGCAATTTTGTCTCTTGTATAAATTTCACTGTTAATTCATCAGTGGTCCATAGAGTTTACGTTCCACTGTTGTTCTTTCTGGCCAAAAGGTTTGCCCTAATGTCTCAAATTCGGTGCAGTCCTGGAGTACATGCTCTGCTGTCTGGTGGCACCTTTCCACAGGTGCACATGGCTGATACGCCTATCTTGAATTTTGTGTACATGTGGTTACGTAATCGGTTGTGCCCTGTTCTAAGGCGGAGGATGACTTGTTATCTGTCCAAAATAAAATAGTTGTCTTGTGCTGGGGCTGGTGGTTTCCTGATTGATGTAATGATTCTTTTCCTTTGGTGGTATATAACTGGTACATCTGGCTGCACTTTTGTGGCACCTTCTCCTGATCAGCTTTCTCATTACCAGGCACTCCACAATGTGATGGTATCCACTGCATTACAACTCTTCGCTGAAGGCTAAGTTGTGTCTGCAGTGTTTGCAATTCTGGTAGTTTCCTAGACTGGAGTGCTTCAAGTACTGATTTTGCATCTGTCAGCATTACCACATACTGGAGTGAGCATGCTGAGGAAGATAGAGAAGGGCTGGGTCCCAAGACAGTGGCTGGAGTCTCTAAAGCTGTCGGGGCTAACACATATCAGTTCAATTTTTGTGTCAGAGCACGTAGGGGTGCGCGGAAATGAGCAAGAAAGCTACTGTAGCGGGTGGATGAGCCATGGACCAGGCTGATATTCTGAATGCTGTATGAGAAGTAAGACGTTTGCGAGGACAAAGTCATGACTGGAAATCTGCAACAGTGGCCAGACTGCAAGAACAACATGTTAAAAGGGATGTGGCCAGACAAGAGCACTATGCGGGAAGCGAAAGAAGAATAAGAAACCAACACAGAACTGGTGTTGTGAGCTGCTGAATGCTGCAGGATTTACTAAAGAGGGCATCCAAGCACTCATGGACTGAATAGTTTGATGTGCAATGAGCAAAATCTGTCGACTAACATATACCCACAGACAGCAGTGGATACACTGCGGCCCGCTCCCATTGTGAAGACAGCATACAAGTTTTTCAATTTGATTGACCTGTCTCTTGGAGGACTGCCTCATTTGTTTTTTAATCTGTCAGTTTATTAATTGCACTTTTGTTTAAAAAACTATATTTCTACTGACATTTTGTTTTATATCCGCCCGTCAACCATCTCACTCATATTTTACATGAATCAGTTTAATAACACCCCTATTTGCTGCTTTTTCATGACATCTTTATATGCATTTACATGTTTTGTAACTCTTTTCCACGATCAGTTACCAGATTCTGTTGCTTTCTACTTGCCGAGAAACCATGACCGAAGGGCCGACCGAGGTATGTATGCCTGTCTTCAAATTTAATGTGTCATTAAAGTGCTACTTTAAAATCAATCCGAAGCAATACAGTTTTAAACAGGTGACTAATAAATTATTAGAAATTGTATGGTCTACATTATGAGCCAGACTTTTTTCAGAAATATTAAAAATAACCTTGACTCTTAGGTCGACCCAGCCTTGATTGGGTACCAGGTGCCGTCCTGGGAAGTAAAGGCGGCCGCGTGATGCTGACCACATTACCCATCTTGTGCCGATTGGTCTATAAAAATGTAGGTCTAGTCCTTTATGCCCTATACGCTTAAAGGCCTGGAAAAGGGACCTTTACTATGGTCTACATTATAATTTTTTTCTCCAGATATATAAAGTTCTATGTTTAAAACTGTTCATACTGCACTGTCGTTGATGAATGTCTGCCAGATGGTGTCAGCAGTCTTGATATTATGATTGATATCTAAGGGACAAACCTTTTGGCAATAATTTAGTTTAGGATATGAAAATAGAAAAAATAATATTTCAATCGGATCAGTGTTTCGATCAGCTGTTTTCCCTGATTTTCGGTTGATGAAAAATTTGACACGTCATTTGAAAATGAGCATAACATCCAAAGTATTTAAATTAATTGTTTTAAATAAAGACTAGCTAATACAAAATTGAACAGAGAAGGCATGTGCATTCTTAGAATTGGATAGCAGTGTTGTTGAACTTGTAAAAAAGTAAGGTAAGCACAAAATTCTTTATGTCAATAATTTTAATGTGTCTCCCCAGTGTCCTTTGTGCATGGAAGCACTTGATGTTGATGATTACAGCTTCTTTCCTTGCACTTGTGGATACCAGGTACCTTTCTTGTGTGCAACATTTCAGTTATGACTTCGTGAGGTGTACAGTGTAGCAGGCGACAATGTGATTTCAGTATTTTAGTTATACAGCTTTCCCAAGTTTGTTACAGGCTCCATTTGGTACGGGTGGGGGGGGGGGGTGGTGGTAAGGGGCTGGGGAAGGAAGCTCCTCCTGCGGGTTCCTATGCTCCATTTTGAGAACAAAGAATAGACCCGATGCTTGTTTAACAAACGTGTCATAGGAAGCGACGAATTAGGGAGTGTTTCATTCAGTGTTGGAGTGCATCTGCCTGAGAGGCAAGGAACCAACCATCTGCATACAAATTTGTAACTTGGTTGTGCACATGGGACTCAAGTTCTGGATCAAGACCAAAGTCCAGATGTGGCCAGCTAGAACTCTCCACCAGAGTAACAGCTGTGAAAGCTAAGTAAGAAGAAGAAAAAGGGAGGGGGGGGGGAGACCCACTGTCTCCCTAACAGGCATGTTGTACAAGGGGACTAATTGTGCACAGTCAAAGTGCATCTGCCTGAGCCTGTTAAAAGCCAGTTCTGTAAAATGGATGTGCACACAAATTTCAAGTTCTGGAACAAGACAGAAGTCTAGAAATTTCCACTTGAGTTTACTTCTGGTGAAAGCTAAGAAAAAAAAGAAGAAGAATTAAAAGGCTTCATTATATGTTTGTGATATGTTATCACAATCGACGTCACTGAACATTGGATATTCCCAAGTGTGCTCAATCCTTCCATGCAGCAGCTACCCCTGAGTATCTCTACTGCTGTATCAGATTTCAGCACGGATGCACAGACCTCGTAGGTCTGGCATTTCAAGTTTGTAGAAATTTTTCTACCGTGTTTAATGAATAATCAAAATGTTGAGTTGAAATGAGAACCAGCTACACACAGCACTCGAGACATTCCTGTAAGTTTTCAGCCCCATCTTCAGCAGCCAGTGCAGAGGTCCAGTCGCTGAGGTGCAAGTATCAGCCTGTAGTCTGCCTTGCCTTTCCTCTGAGTCTTAGTCAAGGTTTCAACTTCACTACAATCAGGTTTCCACATACTTGCTCTGTTCCTGTCCTTGTGCAGATCAAATAAAATGTCCCTCATTGTTCCATTTGAAAACTGGTGAACAGACAATAAGTCCCAGAACAATCCAGAAATATGTGCACACAGTAACTGTAATTGCATTTGGCAGTTGCTAGAGGCGCCAAAGCCAACAGTCGCCACTAGAAACGCAGTTTGTCGTTGATGGAAGGGCAGGATAAGTTGGCTATACACGCGTAGAATTATTACATAAAGTATTTCACCAGCTCACACATAAGCATAAAGCCATTTTGAATACCATGACGCAGCTGCTGCACAAATGAAAGGCATTCCACATGCACAGCACAGCTCACATGGCTGCACCAAGCACTAAACTCAGTAGCTCAGGCAGCGAAACCTTACGCTACCATTCATATGTAGAAACCCCATTAGCAAAGCGCTGTTGGAAGCATAAAATAACTTCAGAGCTTAACATTCTGCCATGCCTAATCCTCCAATTTAGCTCAAGTATTGTCAGCTACATCCCCTAGGCACTCCCTGCTGTACCATTCTCTTCAGACCCTGATGACTTTTTGTGTGCTCCACACTGTTCACTTGCTGTCAAAGAGCCTTGACAACATCTGGCTTGTCATACATGCATCAATTCACCACCAAATGATGTAGAACTAGCCAATCTGCTTGTTCATTTAAATGAATTATTCAGTGTGGTTTAGGACCACTTAGTATTCTGATGCAGTATGTTGATGTAAAAGTCTTTAGAAGAGCTGTAATTGATATTTTTGTTTTCCAGATCTGTCGTTTTTGTTGGCACCGGATTCGAACAGATGAAAATGGATTGTGTCCAGCCTGCCGGAAACAGTACCCAGAAGACCCTGCAGAGTTTAAACCTCTAACAGATGATGAGTAAGCTCAGAATGGGTGTGAGTGAGTTACCTGCAGAGCTCAAACCTCTGACAGATGATTAGTAAGCTTGGAGTGGGTGTGAGTGAGTTACCTGCAGAGTTCAAACTTCTGACAGATGATGAGTAAGCTTAGAGTGCGTGTGAGTGAGCTACCTGCAGAGTTCAAACCTCTGACAGATGATAAGCTTAGAGTGGGTGTGAGTGAGTTACCTGCAGAGCTCAAACCTCTGACAGATGATGAGTAGTAAGCTTGGAGTGGGTGTGAGTGAGTTACCTGCAGAGCTCAAACCTCTGACAGATGATAAGCTCAGAGTGGGTGTGAGTGAGTTACCTGCAGAGTTCAAACCTCTGACAGATGATACACTTAGAGTGGGTGTGAGTGAGTTGCCTGCCGAGTTCAAACCTCTGACAGATGATAAGCTTAGAGTGGGTGTGAATGAGTTACCTGCAGAGCTCAAACCTCTGACAGTTGATGAGTAAGCTCAGAATGGATGAGAGTGAGTTACCTGCAGAGTTCAAACCTCTTACAAATGAGTAGTAAGCTTAGAGTGTGTGTGAGTGAGTTACCTGCAGAGTTCAAACCTCAAACAGATGATGAATAGTAAGCTTAGAGTGGGTGTGAATGAGTTAGTATATGGTAGAGATGACAAAGAAAATGACAACAGCTTGGCATGAGTTGATGTAGCTGTTATGATCCAATAGGATATAAATAGCAGAAGAAGTAGTATCATAGAACAGTGCGCGTCCTTGAAAATGCCCTTATTTCTCACTTTTTTAATTTATAATTACTCTGTTTGTTTCACCCTCACCCTCTCTTTCGTATGAACCATTTAAATTTGGTTGTTCTTGATGTTTGAAGTTACCTGCCCAAATCTGGATAAATAAAATTCCCCTTGTCGGATCCGGGTCTCCATTTTAGAGAAGAAAATAGAGACCACTGCCTGTCTAACAAGCATGTCATAGAAGGCAGTTGGGGTTGTTTCTGTCAAAGTCAGAGTTCATCTTACAGAAAGGTAAAGAACCATCAGTTAAGCCAGATCTGTAAAACTCAAGTTCTTGATCAAGATCGGAGTTCAGTAGTGGATGAACCAGAATGTTCCGTCGGAGTTTATAGCTGATAAACACTAAGGAGGAGTCTCTCATTCTTTTAATCACACTCTCTCTCTTTCACTGTCACCCTCTCTGTCACCCTTATGCATCTGTTATATTTTGTTGTTGTTGATGGTGTTTGAGATTACTTGTTGAAATTTGAATAAATGCAAGAGGAATGAGGTCAAAAGTGTTAGAATGTCAGTGCTCAGTTATTAACCCTTTGAAATTAGTTTCTATGTTCATTTGTTTATTCTCTTTCCTTCTGTTTCTCTCTGTCTCTACCTTCCTCCCCTCTCCCACTCTTCTTTTCTATATTTCTTTTAGACATACTTCTCTTCTGTCTGAAATGGACATTAAAAAATGTTAAAATACAAGTTCCAATTCCTTGGTTTTTATGAAAAAAGATCACACACGTTAATTGGAAATTATTATTAATTTGCAGATTACAAAACATCAGAAAAGAACGTAAACAGAAAGATTCACAGCGAAAACACAAAGCTGCAGAAAACAGGAAACATTTGGCAAATGTCAGGTAACTAAGATGCACACAGAGTAATGTAAAGAAATCATACCTTCTGGTCTGAAAGTTTTATGTTCAGTTTCTCATTGGAGTAGATGTTTACAATTATGCTAGAGCTTGCATGTTAAACCAGCTAAAGTGGGTACAAGAAGATTTCTTTGGAAGCAAAGGGGGGCAGTGTAATCTCACAAAAGCATTGATTTTTCTTTACAAAGGTGTCTAGCACATTATATCATAATTTGTTCTTATTCTTCTTACATTTGGTCATATAATATTAAAGAAATCTGGCTTCACCTGTGGTCACTTAGTGTTTAGTTGGTATCTTTTAAACCAAATCACCCATCTTTTCAAATTTGTTTCTTCCCCGTGTGGATTCTGGGGCCCTATTGTAGGGAAAACGAGAATAGACCCACTGCCTCCCCAAAAGCATGTCGTAAGAGTCGACTAATTGGGAGCTTTCTTTAAAGTCGAATGCATCTGCCTGAGAGGCAAAGAACCAACAGTCTGCATACAAATTAGTCAGATCTATCAAACAGATGCACATGCAACACTCGGGTTCTGGAACAGGACTGCAGTCCAGAAGTGAACGAACAACTAGAACTTTCCTCTGAAGTTTACAGCCGGGGAACGCGAAGAAGAAGAAATTTGTATTTACCATGAGAATATACTGAGAGACTTTCTTCTATCGAAGGAAATATTACCAGACTGTCACCACACATATGAATTGAGTTTTATTTTACCATTACCAATTTGCTGCCTAGCTAAAATGAATCCACAAATACCAGCAGCGAGACGGTGCAGCATAAAAATGAACACATGAAGAGGCAGAAGAAGACCTAGAAAAAAGATGGATTGAAATAGTCACAGCCTACAACTTCACAATATTACAGAAAACACGAAAACTTAAAACATCCTAACTTGGCTGCATGTCATCTGTTAAACTGTGTTGCTTAACATGTTTCCCCAAAAATAAGCACACACACCCCCTCCCCCCCCCCCCCCCCCCCCCCCCCCCCCCAAAGTCCTAGCACACATTTCAGGATGCTTTTAATATTAGCCCCGCCCCAAAAGTATGCCCATTCAACATCATCAGAATGAGAGAAGTTTATAAAGTTTGAACAACGGATCAACATCATGGCACAAGGGTGGTAACCCATAAGTGCTCAAGTCTGAGCACCGGCAAGGATCCTAAAATATTTTGGGTAGATTTTTCAACTCCAGTTTTCTCCTGGCAGCGCCGTTAGGCTGCTCTTTTCAATTTCCGACTGCCAAGGGATTTTTTACATGCACAACAATACACACGGGCATCCGATCTCACTACCCAGAGACCAGGGGAAATAAATTACTAGAAGTCCACTTGAACAGAAAAAGTCCCAGCCTTCACCGGGGCTCGAACCCGGGACCTCTAGCACTCGAGGCGGGACACCATACCTCGAGACCACGCAGCCCCTATCTAGAATGAGAGAGTTGTTGCAGAATAACCAGTCAGAGTACAGTTGCTAGTGATGGGCACTTGATAATGAAGGGATCTGGTTCAGAATACTTCATTTGTATGATGGTGCTCCAGAAAAAGATGATATTTGAATAAATAAATATAGAATTTTGTATTGGAACAAATATAGATTTTTGTAGCTAAAAAAAAAAAAAAGACATCTCTCAAAAATAACCCTAGCGCATTTTTAATATTAAGACCCAGTCTTATTTTCGGACAAACATATTAGTAGCACAAAGCAGGCAATGACAGAAGAAGAGAAATTGTCTTTAACAAGAAATATATATTTCTGTGTTAAAGTAGCTCCAGGGCTGCCAATGATGGGTTTTTACCCCCAGATCTGGGTTTTTATTTGACACCTCGGGTTAAGATTTTGGAATCTTAGGTTTTTACAAAATATTTCCTTGCATAAAAGTGGGTACAAATTTCGTTTTGTAACTAACATTTTTACTTGTTATCAATCTTGAGTTTTTGTTTATTGTTCTTTGCTTATGTATTGCTGGATTTTTTGGCCAGCTTAGCTTGAGATTTGATAAAAATTCTATTGGCAGCCCAGCTTCAGTAAAATATGTTTGATGATGGAAGCCAGAGTTTCAAAATAGAGCGTGCCAAAAATATTTACGTCGTAAATGTATATTTCTGGTTTGTCTTAGGGTTGTGCAGAAGAACCTGGTGTTTGTGGTAGGTCTGTCCCCAAGGCTTGCAGATCCTGAGGTGCTGAAAAAGCATGAGTATTTTGGCAAGTTTGGGAAGCTGCACAAGGTGGTGATCAATCAGAGTACGTCGTATGCTGGATCTCAGGTGTGTCTTTACAGCATTTGATATTTTCTGGCTCACAACTACCTGCCTCATTTTACAACTGCTCATGGGTCTGTTTGATTTACATACCGTATATAGACCTGCTAAATTCATAACTGCTGCTATGTCTGCCTGATTTACACTGAAGATCTCTCTGTGTGTTCCAGAATAACATTGGGGGTAATTAAAAAAAGAATAGACCCATGGCAGACATGTTGTAAAAGTCGACTAAGTGGAGGGGGGGGGGGTCCCTAGAAGTCGGATTGTAACTTCCTGAGAGACGAGTAACCAACATTCTGCCTACAAATAAGCCAGATCTGTAAATTTGATAATGGATGTGCATGCAAAACTAAAGTTGTGAAACAAGTCTAAAAGAGGACTCTCAGACACCTTTTTATAGGTGTGACAGAGGTATCGTTTTTATTTTTGTTAGTAGGCACATACTTTTGTTAACGTGAAAACACAGATTACTGTGTTTCCAATTCTCAAAGAATGTTAATTAAAGTTCTTATAATAATTGCAAAGTTTGGCTTCCACGCAAAGTTACTAAGTATCCACCCATTTATTCTTTCACGCCCGCTAAACCCAGGTAGTTATTGGCTAAGTTTATCAACAGTGATCTGGCATAGTTGTTCACAAAGCATACAAGCAGTATGAACAAAGTCATGAGAGACTAGCAGATGCGTCCGGAATAATAATTAAAAATGATCCTGGCTACCACAACTAACTTTATAAATACGCCTACACAAAAGAAACACTTGTCACAAGTATGAACAACTACTACAGTCTTTTCCACAGCTTTAAATCCAGTCCTTGCCAAGCAAAAATAATTCTCACATTTCAGGAGAACCAAACAGACACATCTGTTCACTGGACTGTCAAACTACCAACTGCCGTATATTGGTCTACCCATTTGTCAAGTCCCCTTGTAAACTCCTCTCACCCGTAACACTCAGTTACCTTAATACCCTCTGCCGGTCTTGTCTACACACACACAACAAATCTGACCAGTAATTGACCTGTCTGCTGTTATGAGTCAAAGTCTAGTCGTTGTTTGTCTTTCTCTAACAGTGTGTGGTAAATTTGGCTCATGACAAGGACAAACCAAAGAATCTAGATTGTCTCTTTCTGATGTGGGCAGTCAGTTCTCTTTGTGAGTGTTTCTTTCAAGACTCACCAAAGATTGTCTCTTTCTGATATGGGCACTTAGTTCTCTTTGTGAGTCAGTTTCTTTCAAGACTCACCAAAGAATGTAGATTGTCTCTTTCTGATATGGGTAATTAATTAGTTTCTTTCAAGACTTCCTTACTCTTTTTATCTGTCCAGGGCATTCTCATCATTCATCTATAAAACCAAATCTCTGCACCTTCCAAATGTACAGACATGACTTTGCTTTGCAAATACCCACAATAGGTTGCAATGTCTTTCTGTGAGAGTAGTGCTCATACTTGTCAGGTTGTCCTAGCCATTGTGCTCATACTGGGAGGGTTGTCCTAGCCATTGTGCCTATAGAGGCATCCTCTGCCTATCACAGTTAAAGTGAGGACCAAGCACTTTCCAGAAAATGTTCACAGATCTTAATCTTTAGCATTCTGAGCCCTTGAGGTTCATTGCTGCAGATATCACCCGACTCCATTCACCTCTGTCATTGGCCTTTTCTTTCCAGTTGGTGACTCCAAATGTTTTTAAGTCTGCCTGTAAATTATCTCTCCACTGTCTTTTCTTTGTCTGCCTCATGATCTACTCTACTTCCATCCAGCTCCTTTGCTAATGCAGTTTTAATCTCTGTTGTCTGACATCATAAATGTTAAAGAAAAATTGTTTTTAACATTTTTATTCAGGGTCCAAGTGCCAGCGCTTATGTAACGTATGTGAAATCAGAAGATGCCCTGAAAGCTATACTAACAGTGAACAATGTACATGTGGATGGGCGTATATTGAAAACATCTTTAGGCACCACTAAGTATTGCAGTCACTTCCTCAAGGGTTCACACTGTCAGAAGGCTGTAAGTTTTAGCTGTCTGAACATTTGACCTTGTTTCATGTTATTGAGTTTTTTTTCAGCTTCTAGATGTTTTTGAGGTTGGTTATTGTCAGCTCCCTTCAAGTTGTTTTCTTGTTTAGCCTTTCATTATAAACATCTGGAGATGTCGCCCTGATCTAGAAAATACAACTGCTCAGATCACCTGCCATCAGATGGCTGTGAAACATGAACCTCAATAGCTGAACTTGAAAGGAAAATACAGACTTTGGAAATGAGTTCGTTTCAAAAGATCCGGGATGTATCATACAGAGGATGAACTTCACTATCATCACTCAGCATGTTGGCAACTGTGAACCTGTTAACAACACTTAAGAGGCAAACGCAGTGGTATGGGCATATGACAAGATTGTTTGTCCTGTCTGGAACAATATTACACACCAGAGGGACCATCTTCACATTAAAGGTCAACTGTTATGAGTCTTCAGTACACTCTGTCCCGCCACTCCCTGTTCTGCCACTCCCTGTCCCACAGCTACGTGTCCTACCACTCCCTGTGCTGTCACTCCGTATATTACCACTTCTTGCCCCAACAGTCCCTGTCCTGCCATTCCGTATTCCACCACTCTTTGTCCCAACAGTTCCTGTCCTACCACTCCTGGCCCCAACCTTTCCTGTCCTACCACTTCCTGTGCTGTCACTCCGTATTTTACCACTCCTTGTCCCAACAGTCCCTGTCCTGCCATTCCGTATTCCACCACTCTTTGTCCAAACAGTCCCTGTCCTACCACTCCTGGCCCCAACCTTTCCTGTCCTACCACTTCCTGTGCTGTCACTCCGTATTTTACCACTCCTTGTCCTAACAGTCCCTGTCCTGCCATTCCGTATTCCAACACTCCTTGTCCCAACAGTCCCTGTCCTGCCATTCCGTATTCCACCACTCCTTGTCCCAACAGTTCCTGTCCTACCACTCCCTGTCGTGTCACTCCCTGTTCCAACACACTGACCCCAAAACTCCCTGTCCCAACACTGTCTGTCCCCCACAAATTCCTGTCCCCAACACTGTCAGTCCCGACACACACTTTCCCAACACTGTCAGTTTCAACACACTCTGTCCTAACACTCTTTCCCGGCGCATTCAGCCCCAACATTCTCTGTCCTAACACTCACTGTCACAGTTCACCCTGTCCCATTACTTAGTGATAACTCCCCTTGATTGTCTCAGATAAGTATTTCCAATGTTATTTCTCTGCAGGATTGTATGTACTTGCATGAGCTGGGAGAAGAAGCTGCCAGTTTCACTAAAGAAGAAATGCAAGCAGGGTATGACCTAGTTATTTGTTGTTTACACACCATTTATAAACAACTTCTGACTGCTTTTGATGCATTTCTTGTTGTTCGTTAAAAATACTCTATGGAACGGAACCAGCCACAACAGGAACCATCTGGAACCAGCCATTAAAAGACAAATCTGGAACAAGACTTCAAGACTTATTGTCTTCGGGCAGAAGAAAAAAATAGAAAGCAGGAACACTAAATTGCACAAATTTTTTGCATCTGTTTGTTGAGGATGCATTTTTTTTTCTACTTCTGTGTCCTCCCTTAAAAGAGAGGTTGGCACATTGTGTTGTGGTTTACAGCTAGGCTTTTCCTGTGTGGTTTTTACTGGCACAGGAACACAGCGGTTATGAGACAACCCAGTTGCAGTGAAGTGAAACCTCGACTACCACTAGTGCATAGCTGTGATATCTACAGCTTTCTGCCCAACACAGCCCATTTCAATGATCCCTTAATTAACCATCTTTTATGACATGCTTGTTGGGGGTGTGGGTATGTTCTTGTTTTTTTTTTTTCCCACAGAAAAATAAGGTACTGAAATCTGTACAGGGTGTTGAAGATCCATGGCGTGCTGTTGTTTTTTGCGTGTGGCTTAAGAAGATGATGGATATCGAACATTTACTTTTTCTCATATTTGATCATGGAATTGTTTCTATGCTTATAGAGATGATAAGTATGCGAGCCAAAGGTGTTTGCTAAAATTCTGTTTACCCTCAACAGGAAGCACCAAGAATACGAACAGATGTTGATTGAGCAGTTTTTAAATTCTCAAAACTCTGCCACTAATCACCCTGTAACAAATAATAAAATGTAAGTGTGTGTGCGTGTTTTCTTTTTAAACCCTGTCATCATCATGCTTTACAATTATATATTTGTTTATTTCAAACAAATGTGATGTCTCCCCAGTTGAGGTACACTAAGTCTGATTTTATCCATCTTTAAGAAAGACCATATCTGCCAGGTTGACTTAAGTCTCTTTGTTTGCATTCTCCAGCTGTGAACTGAGGCAGAAAGTCCTAGTTCATTTATTTCTAGACTGCTTTTTTTTTCTTTCTATTTTACAGATCTGGCCTAATTGTATGCAGACCGTTGGTTCCTTGCATCTCGGGCAGATGCACTCTGTCTTTGAAGGAATCCCCCCAATTAGTCCACTCCTATGACATGCTTGTTAGGTGTGGGTCTCTCCTTGTTTTCCCCCCAAATTTGGGCCCTGGACCTCCACACAAAGGTGAACCCGGTCTAAAACTGGCATCAGGTAAAGTCCTTGGAGGTAAAGGCGGCTGGCCTGATGTCGACCAAATCACCCATCAAGTGCATGGCCTATACAAATATGAGTCTGGCACCATACACCCGATGTGCCAGTGCCATGAAAAGGGTCCTTGACCTTACAATGTTGGTTGGTAGCAGTAGGGTGCATCTCACATTTGTGTTCGCAAAACCCCACTTCTTGCCGTCACTGGAGATTTCTTGACCCTTCTTTCATGGACTGTGACCTTTCCCACGGGCTACTGATTCTTCCAGGGGTGTCAGGATACCGTGTGGAAGATCATTCCAGGCCCGACACAGGGACTTTGCACATGTCTCTTTCCTAGCTGGAGAGTGAGGCAGTGGTTATTGATTGTTCTTTGGCTGTTTCTGTGTAGGGCTGAGTGTTTGACAAACTTTTTATGTCTGTGTGAACTGCGTTTCTGCGTATGTCTGTGTGAACTGCGTTTCTGCGTATGTCTGTGTGAACTGCGTTTCTGCGTATGTCTGTGTGAACTGCGTTTCTGCGTATGTCTGTGTGAACTGCGTTTCTGCGTATGTCTGTGTGAACTGCGTTTCTGCAAGTATCTCTGTTTTGAGTATTGGTGACATTTTGGAGCTGGCCGTAAAAGGGGCTGTCTGGGGGGTTTGGTTAGGGAGAGGTTATATCTGCATACATTATTAGGAATAAGCTATTTATTACTCCTAGTTTTCTCATCTGTAAGACTCAAAACTGAACATTGTCCATAATCTTGAAAATAAAAACCCAAAAAACCCAGACGGCAACTTAAAAACCCACATCTTCGAGATGGTGGGGGGGGGGGGGATGCTGCAGTGGCCTTTCGATAAGAACACATGGCACCTCTGGAAGATACTTCCATGAAAGGAAGGCAAGAAATCTCGCACATTGGCGAGAAGTGGGGTTTTTGGGACACAAACATGAGTTGTACCAGCAGTAGATATGTGTCTTCAGGAACATTGCTGTGTGAGGCCCCATTCTCTTCCATGGTGTCACTCTCATACCAATGTCCAAATGCCCAGAGGTCTGTCTTTTTCTAAACCGCTGTGGACGTTGAATCCTGGTACACCCAGAATTGTGAAATGTGCTTACTAAACCATAGAAACAAGCTACAGTGGATTCAAAAATCTGTATACACCATTTCATATGTAAAACTTTGTTTCTTTTTGGCTGAACGTCCGTCTATACCCTCTTCGTGTCACTGTTGACACTTAAGGCACACACAGATTGCTTACTGTCCACTGCTTTTCTGCGTGTGATATCCCATGATATCTTACATTCATTCATTTTCCTTTCTACCCATTCTGCTGTCCTTCAAGTTTCCTTGGGTTGTCTATGTCTCCTTTTTCCATCTGTCATTCACCGGTGTTTGACCAAAAGTTTGCTGTTGACACTTAAGGCATATACAAGTGATCTCCATTGCTTGCTGACTGCTGCTTTTCTCCTTGTGCTATGCCATGTAATTTTACATTCCTTAATTTTTTCCTTTCTGCTGTTCTTCTTCAGGTTTCCTTGGATTGTAAAATCTCATTTTTCCATCTGTCATTTATTGGCTTTTGACCGGAAAAAAAATACACTACCAATTATCGCAACATTAAATTAAAAAATACTCCTTTGCTCTTGAAAATTCATCACACTTTGTTCACCTTGCGTGAAAATTCATCACACTTTGTTCACGTTGCATGAAAATTCATCACTCTTTGTTCACGTTGCATTTAAAAAAAAAACTTTCTCCTCAGTAAAAAACCAGTTTCGCCACAGGCTGTAGAAAGCTCGGAGATGATACCTTCCTTGATGGACATGACCGGGGACATCAAACACACACAGCACAGTCTGGGGCCACTGTTACCCAACCCTGTGTACAGTGGTGCTGGTGCTCAGTCTCACCTCAACAATTCCAACTCCAGCTGGCCATTGTTAGATGGCCTCAGTTCTGTACCAGGTAATGGGCTGAAAGCAGAAAAGGGCCTGGCAGACAGTAACAAGTCACAGGTAAGGAGGAACATAAACATCACTTTAGGTTTTCTTCTGTTTTTCCTCTTCATTTTTGAAATTTATTTCTTCCTCCTCCTCCTTTTCTCTTTCATCTTTATCATCATAGGCTTCCCCATGTAGATTCCAGAGCCCTATTTTGTGGGATGGAAAAACTTCCCCATGTAGGTTCCAGGACCTTCTGCCTGAAATGGGAGAGCTGATAAACTAGCTAAGGAAGATGCAAATAAAGAACACCTGGCTTTATCCTATCAACAGAAGAAGAGAAAATCAGATCAATCATAAAGCCACCAAAACTGGTTTTATTATGGTCATACCAGAACAAGTTATTATTCTATGCCTTAGAACAGTGTATAGTGGACTTCGCAGCCACATGTATACACAATTTAAGATTGTTTAATCAGCCATGTGCACATGTGTATTGGTATCTCAGACAACAGATCACATCCTCCAAGACTGCCCCCAAATGCAACATTTCCAGACAAAACCTCTGGCCAAGAGGGACACCGGTGGAAGTCAAACTTTACGGAGTGAATTACAAAAGACAGTGAAGTTCATACTGTAGACAGCATTGCAGATATAGATAATTTGTTTTAAGCGAACAAAGGAAGAAGAAGATTATTGTATATGCCTGAATGGCAAGGAACCAAAATCATCATCATCATTGTCCTGTTGTGCCATGGTATGTTACACATGGCTCGCAGTCTTATCTTTCCATCCACCTCTATCCCGTGCAATCCCTTTGATATTATGGTTGGAATCCAGTCCAGCACTTTGAGCCTCTGTCATCAGCATTTGTTTTAGGGTTTCTTTTGGTCGTCCTTATTCTTCATCCCTTTATTGAGAAACCGTCTAGACTAAAATAAGCCAGGTCTGTGAAATGGATATGCATGCAAAAGTCAAGTCCTGGAACGACCCAGGTCTAGAAGTGGATAAACACCACTGGATTTCACAGCCAGTGAATACAAAGAAATCTATGCAGTACTTCAGTGTATGGAATTCTTTTTCTTTTCTCCAGGGTCAAAGCAATAAATCACAGCTTCGAACAGATATACCACCAGTCAACAGCAACAGCCGTGTAGTTGGTGCTCGGTCACAGAGAAGCGGCAGCTCTACTAGCAACACAGATGAGAGTCTTATATTAAAGTATGTGTACTTGAAAGTCTTATACATCATCATCGTCTTCATTGCTCATCCAAGTGACGTAAATGCATTGTGCCTGTCCATCGCATAGTTGTCGTAGCCTTTCCACCGACACACATGACTTCTTACTAAGCAGGAGAAGAAACGATATATGTTCGGCAGAGAAGAGGGGATACTAGTCAAAAGAAATAAATTGCAGTGGTTATCATGTGGCTAACCTTGAATTTGTGATGGGGGAGATGTACAGTGTAACAAGAGACATTATAATTTGTGTATTTCGGTAGCAAGGATTGATTTTAGTGTTTCATTATATACATTGTGCAATGCATTGTTTGTATCTGCACTGTTTAGAGAGAAATATGTAGACATAGAGATATGTGTGGTTGGGAAGGAGGGGGGGGGGGGGGGGGGGGCTATCCTAGAAAAGAAAAAAGAAAAAACAGTTGGAAAGATGTCTGTAGAAAATGTAACAGCTAGGCTGCTAAAAAAAACATCTACAAATGCCTTGTCTACTGGCTTTGGCGATCATATGATTTTCAGTAGCATATATCAGTTTGTCTGCTGTCACCCCTGACAAAAGGGCTGTCCAGAATCTTCTTGTGTCGTCTTCCTCTGTCTCTTTTTCACAGATCTTTCCAGCTGTCACATCTTCAAGTTCCCTTCTCATTTTTTTCCCTCAGAATATCTGGGTTGCCTTTTTTTGGCTGTCAGAGAAATTGTAAGAATTCTTCTGTAAAACCACATTTCCAAGAAATTATTTCCAAGTTCAGGACCTGACAGGAGATGCTCATGTTCTGTCCCTGTCTTCTCCTGAGGGCTGACCAGCGTTACATGCTGCTCTTGACCAGCTTAGAAGGGGACACCCACATGAAGACGAGACCTGGCACAGGATGCTCATTTTCCACCCCTGCCTTCTCTTTTTGGTTGACCAACATTGCCCGCCTGTTCTGGACTGTCTGCAGAGGAGGCACCACCGTGCAACATCCAGACGAGACCAGGATGTGACAGGAAATGCTCGTCTTCTGTTCCTGCCTTGAGGATTGACCAACATTACATGCCTGCTCTTGAAGATTGACCAGCATTACATGCCTGCTCTTGGAGATTGACCAACATTACATGCCTGCTCTTGGAGATTGACCAGCATTACATGCCTGCTCTTGGAGATTGACCAACATTACATGCCTGCTCTTGGAGATTGACCAACATTACATGCCTGCTCTTGAAGATTGACCAACATTACATGCCTGCTCTTGGAGATTGACCAACATTACATGCCTGCTCTTGGAGATTGACCAACATTACATGCCTGCTCTTGGAGATTGACCAACATTACATGCCTGCTCTTGGAGATTGACCAGCATTACATGCCTGCTCTTGGAGATTGACCAACATTACATGCCTGCTCTTGAAGATTGACCAGCATTACATGCCTGCTCTTGGAGATTGACCAACATTACATGCCTGCTCTTGAAGATTGACCAACATTACATGCCTGCTCTTGGAGATTGACCAGCATTACATGCCTGCTCTTGAAGATTGACCAACATTACATGCCTGCTCTTGAAGATTGACCAACATTACATGCCTGCTCTTGAAGATTGACCAACATTACATGCCTGCTGCTCTTGAGGATTGACCAGCATTACGTGTCTGCTCTTGAGGATTGCCCACCTTACGTGCCTGCTCTTGAGGATTGACCAGCATTACGTGTCTGCTCTTGAGGATTGCCCACCTTACGTGCCTGCACTTGAGGATTGACCAGCATTACGTGCCTGCTCTTGAGGATTGCTTACCTTACTTGCCTGCACTTGAGGATTGACCAGCATTACGTACCTGCTCTTGAGGATTGCTTACCTTACTTGCCTGCACTTGAGGATTGACCAGCGTTACGTGCCTGCTCTTGAGGATTGCTTACCTTACTTGCCTGCACTTGAGGATTGACCAGCATTACATGCCTGCACTTGAGGATTGACCAGCATTACATGCCTGCACTTGAGGATTGCTTACCTTACTTGCCTGCACTTGAGGATTGACCAGCATTACGTACCTGCTCTTGAGGATTGCTTACCTTACTTGCCTGCACTTGAGGATTGACCAGCGTTACGTGCCTGCTCTTGAGGATTGCTTACCTTACTTGCCTGCACTTGAGGATTGACCAGCATTACATGCCTGCACTTGAGGATTGACCAGCATTACATGCCTGCACTTGAGAATTGCTTACCTTACTTGCCTGCACTTGAGGATTGACCAGCATTACGTACCTGCTCTTGAGGATTGCTTACCTTACTTGCCTGCACTTGAGGATTGACCAGCGTTACGTGCCTGCTCTTGAGGATTGCTTACCTTACTTGCCTGCACTTGAGGATTGACCAGCATTACATGCCTGCACTTGAGGATTTACCAGCATTACATGCCTGCACTTGAGGATTGCTTACCTTACTTGCCTGCACTTGAGGATTGACCAGCATTACATGCCCGCACTTGAGGATTGACCAGCATTACGTGCCTGCACTTGAGGATTGACCAGCATTACATGCCTGCACTTGAGGATTGACCAGCATTACATGCCTGCACTTGAGGATTGCTTACCTTACTTGCCTGCACTTGAGGATTGACCAGCATTACATGCCCGCACTTGAGGATTGACCAGCATTACGTGCCTGCACTTGAGGATTGACCAGCATTACATGCCTGCACTTGAGGATTGACCAGCATTACGTGCCTGCTCTAGAGGTTTGACCAGCATTATGTCTTCAGATCAGTAACCAAGGAGAAGAAGACCAGGCATGTATCATACTTAGCTGAATATTCTGTTGATTTGTGTATCCTCAGCACAGTGAATCCTGCCAGCAATAGCAGAACATCTTCAACAACACCACCGGGAGACAGAGAACAGAGTGCCGGCTCTCCACAGATGGACCAGCCATCTCACAGAAGTCTTCCGCTGCCAACACCAGGGTCCTGTGCCGGTCAACAGCTGCCACTCATACAAGGACAGGGGATATCAGTTTCTGCTTACACACCTCCGACCACATCTGTTAATGGAGCACATGCTCAGGTAATACAGTGTTTCCCGGCTAGTTAACCCTTTCACCCGTTAGCCTTTTAAAAAATTGGTCGTGACCCCATTAGGATTTCTGAAGGAAAAAGTAAAAAAAAAATTTTTTTTACACAGTTCACAAAGGTCACAAATAAATTAGTTAAAAATGTGTTTTTCCAAATATATAAAGATATATATATAAAGATAAATATATATATAAAAGAAGTGATCAGTGAACATAAACAGGGCCAAGCATACATTGAATACATCCCCTGCCATCTAAAAAAAAACACACATATGCTTATGACAACATCTGACATCATCTTGGCTTTAAAAAAGCCATTTAGCACAAAGGAGAAACTCTTCTAAAGTGCTGTTGTTAGTTAATTTATTAATGTTCTGACCTCATAACCATTTGTGCAGGCACGAGCTCAGCCATTTATATTAACTACATCTTGTAAACAGGATGCACTTAGGTTTTGGAACAAAACTAAAGTTCGTAGGTGGACAAGCAACCAGATCTTTCTGCTGGAGTTCACAGCTGGTGAATGTGACAATGAAGAAGACATCTATCACAAAACAAATCACATCCATCTTCCTTCATTTGTCTTCCCTCAGTTACCACGAGGGAATCACTTGTGGGACTCATTTGCTTATTGTGTTGTCTTCATGGTCATTTCTGTGACTCTTAACCCCCAAAATTGGCCTTGACACGTCTTTCTCATGGTGACAGGGTAAAGGGAGAATGCAGAAGAAGCAGCAGTTCTTAAAGAGTGAGACTTTTTCCTTCTTCTTGTATTTCTTTTCTGATTTACACCGACAGACAAGTTCTTGTGATAAACTTGACTGTCAGTGTAATAAATATATATATATATATTACACTGACAGTATTTCCGACTTTAGGGTCTCTTGAGAGGAGAGTGGACTCATCCCTTCACCTTTACCTCGTTTGTTGTCCTATCCAGTTTCCCGCTGGGGGGTTGAGACCCCAACCTTCCACTGGATTGCTGGGAAGAACAGGGTCCACCACATGACAGTGAGAAAGCCTTGAGCAAGAAAGCCTAATAGACATTAAGAGTCTTGTATTGCACATCATTGCTCCATTAAGACCCCAGAAAGGTTAACCCCCACCCCTTTTTTTTAAGAAAACTGCTAATCCAAAAATTATAATTGTGATTACTTTACATGTTACAGTCCCACTCGGAGGCAGATGAAACCTCTACAGACAGCATTGGTGCTATTGGATCTAACAGAAGGCCTGGCTTGTCCGAGGCCTACAACGCCCAAGGTCTTTCATTCTTCAGCAACAACTTGTTTACTTCTTCTGCAGGAGCAGCACAAACCCTAACGAATACGTCTTTCCAAGGCAAGCTCAGTTATTTAATGTCATCTTCATTGCGTAGCAGTTCCTTTGTAAAACATAGCTCTCACTGTGTCCCTCCCTGGAAGTCTCCTCATCACAAAGTGTATCCATGTTTTGCTCCCTCCCTGAAAGTCTCCCAACCCCCTCCAGAGTCTCCCACATCAAACCCTTTTCAGAAAATCTTCCACATCACACCCCTTTCAGAAAATCTCCCCCATCACATAGTTTCTTTCATCATACCCCCTTCAGAAAGTGTTAACATTACATCCCCTTTAGAGAGTCTCACCATCACATCCGCTTCAGAAACTCTCCCCCATCACACACCCACTTCAGAATGTCTCCCTATCACAGAAAGTCTCCCCATCACATCCACTTCAGAAAGTCTCCCCTTCATTTGCAGTTCAAAAAGTCTCAGCATCATATCCCCTTGAGAAAGTCTCTCCCATTACATCCCCTTCAGAAAGTCTTTCCCATCACATCCCCTTCAGAAAGTCTCCCCGTCATCCCCGTTCAGAAAGTCTCCCCATCATATCACCTTGAGAAAATCTCTCCCATTACATCCCCTTCAGAAAGTCTCTCCCATCGCATCCCCTTCAGAGAGTCTCCTCATCATCCCCCTTCAGAAAGTTTCTGCATCATATGCCCTCGAGAAAGTCTCTCCCATCGCATCCCCTTCAGAAAGTCACAAATCTCCTTGGTCGGACTGGCCTAAAGTGGATTCCAGGTAATGTCCTGAAAGTAAAGACAGCAGGCATGGTGTTGGCCTCGTCACCCACCTACCAGTGACTGGCCTGCAAATATGAGTCTGGCACCATCCTAACCATCCAAGATCGAGTGAATAATGAAACTCTCAGGCAAATTGTGAAAACAACACCTTGTACTAGATTCACTGAGAAACAGCAGATCAAGTGGTTTGGCCATCTCGTTAGAATGCAGCAAGATCAAATACCATCACAAGCACTACATCTCAGAAGATCAGCTACAAGAGTGAGAGGACGGCCGCGGAAAATATGGATTGACAACATTAAAGACACTCTACACCTTCACGGCATGACAGTAGCCAGTGGCAGCCAACATGCACTGGATCGCAAATTATTCCTCCCCACGACGCTTAACGGCAGAAGTGGTTTATGATAATGATGATGATGACCTTCAGCCCGGTGCACTGCTGGCGTAAAAAGTGTCTTTTACTCACTTACTGCCTTGCAGTTAACATTATTTTACTCACACACTACTGTCCAGTTAACATTATTTTACTCACATACTAGTGAGCAGTTAACATTATTTTACTCACATACTACTGTGCAGTTAACATTATTTTACTCACATACTAGTGTGCAGTTAACATTATTTTACTCACATACTAGTGAGCAGTTAACATTATTTTACTCACACACTACTGTGCAGTTAACATTATTTTGCTCACATACTACTGTGCAGTTAACATTATTTTACTTACATACTAGTGAGCAGTTAACATTATTTTTCTCACATACTACTGTGCAGTTAACATTATTTTACTCACATACTAGTGAGCAGTTAACATTATTTTACTCACATACTACTGTGCAGTTAATATTATTTTACTTTACTAACATACTAGTGAGCAGTTAACATTATTTTACTCACATACTAATGTGCTGTTAACATTATTTTGCTCACACACACCACTGTGCAGTTAACATTATTTTACTCACATACTAGTGAGCAGTTAACATTATTTTACTCACATACTAGTGAGCAGTTAACATTTTACTCACATACTACTGTGCAGTTAATATTATTTTACTCACATACTAATGTGCAGTTAACAGTATTTTACTCACATACTAATGTGCAGTTAACAGTATTTTATTCACACACTACTGTGCAGTTAACATTATTTTCCTCACATACTACTTTGTGGAGTTAACATCATTATTTTGTTAACTTTGTTCTATGTCTGAAAGTGAATGCGTTTAATATCTGCTTTTTCCAGAATTGCCAAATATTTCACTAGCCAATCAGGAGATGCCTGATTCTCTCCCAGTGTTCCCCAACACAGAGTGGTCGTCAGTGCTTGATCTCAGGAACAGCGATGATGATCTAGGTTAGTTGTGATGTGTCTTCCTCACTTCCTCTGTGACCGATTCACACAAAGAAGTTCTGATGAGGCCCAGCCATTTTGCATAGACAAGTGTATCGTAATCTCTGTGTGGGTCAGGCTCACTCATTTCCGGTTTGTGATAGGATGCCCAGGGTCATCGCCACCTTTACTAGGGTCAGGGGTCATGCTGGCCAGATCTGTCTACACCTTTACGTGGTCATCCTAGAAACAGGCTGGGCCAACATAGATAAGATAATTTCTTTGAAAGTACCTGTATGGTGGGGAACCAACAGACTTACATAAATAAGCCAGATGTGTAACAGATGTGCTCAAGAAGTTCTGGAAAAAGACCAAAGTCCAGACCAGCCAGAGTTCACAGTCAGGGAAAGCACAGAGCAACAAAAACTGGAGTGTATTGGGTGGTTGGTTCTGTTGCATAACTGACCCACATTTTGTGAGTGAGGAAATGTGGTACAAAGTTGTGGGTTACTTTTATTTGTGATGAATGTCAGTTATTTCTATGGTTGATTATGGTTAACCAATCTTGAATTCAAATGGGGGTTCCATCAATTTTAAAATAATTATACATTTTGTACCTGTTAGCTCACAGTGGGGTAACAGTTTTATTCCTGAACACAAATTAATCAGTCATTGGCCGATACAGTTATTAAAGACTCAGCCACTTTATTCAGACATATTTCAGTAGTGTGAAGAACCAACATCACAGTGCTGTGGACATTCCCATAAGAGCACTGGTTTCCATTTACAGCAGCTACCATAAGAGCACTGGTTTCCATTGACAGCAGCTACCATAAGAGCACTGGTTTCCATTGACAGCAGCTACCATAAGAGCACTGGTTTCCATTGACAGCAGCTACCATAAGAGCACTGGTTTCCATTGACAGCAGCTACCATAAGAGCACTGGTTTCCATTTACAGCAGCTACCATAAGAGCACTGGTTTCCATTTACAGCAGCTACCATAAGAGCACTGGTTTCCATTGACAGCAGCTACCATAAGAGCACTGGTTTCCATTTACAGCAGCTACCATAAGAGCACTGGTTTCCATTGACAGCAGCTACCATAAGAGCACTGGTTTCCATTGACAGCAGCTAGCATAAGAGCACTGGTTTCCATTGACAGCAGCTACCATAAGAGCACTGGTTTCCATTGACAGCAGCTACCATAAGAGCACTGGTTTCCATTGACAGCAGCTACCATAAGAGCACTGGTTTCCATTGACAGCAGCTACCATAAGAGCACTGGTTTCCATTGACAGCAGCTAGCATAAGAGCACTGGTTTCCATTGACAGCAGCTACCATAAGAGCACTGGTTTCCATTGACAGCAGCTACCATAAGAGCACTGGTTTCCATTGACAGCAGCTAGCATAAGAGCACTGGTTTCCATTGACAGCAGCTAGCAAAGAGTTCCAGTTTAGGCGGTGCAAGTGGCAGTCTGATTGTATGTCCTTCTTACCATTTCTTTCAGTGATGATGATCCGTTTGTCAATGCACGGGGATCCCTTTGTCGATGCGTTCCGCAGGATTCTCTCCGGACCACAATAAACTATTTGTGCTTCCTCATAGTTCACTTGCTCCCAAAAGCCTGACATGCATCAGTTCACCACTCATTGATACAGCTCAAGAGATTCTCTCTGCCTTTTCCTTTCCCATCATCATCAGTTCTGTTGTGCCTATTGTGCCTAGTGGCACATGAGGCTTCAGAGAGGACTTTCCATGCTTTCCTGTCCTGTGCAATCTTCAGTGCAGTTTTCCATGTCAAAGATGCTGCACTCAGGTCACTTTCCATCGTTCGTCTCCATGTTGTTTTTGGGCGCCCCTGTTTTCTCTTTCCCTCTGGTGTCCATGTGAGAGCTGTTTTGGCAGGTATATCAGAAGTCATTCTCATAACGTGGCCAAGCCATTTCCATCTTCTCTTGGTAATCATACTGTCTAAAGTTTCTTGGTTTGTGGCTTGAAGTAGTTTAGTATTTGAGATTGCATCTGGCCAGAAAATTTTGATAATTCTACATAGACATGTGTGGTGGAAGGTGGACATCTTGTGTGCATCCCTTTTGGTCATTCTCCAGCATTCCGTTCCATAAAGGAGAACTGGCAAAATGATGCTCTTGTAGAGTCGGAGTTCCATTCCTCTGCAGTAATTGTTGGATTTCCAGATATGCCTCATCCTTCCAAAAGCAGCTCTAGCTTTGTTCAGACGTGACTGTATGTCTTCCTCTGTCCCTCCCAGTAGGGACACCACACTGCCAAGATATGTGAAATGTTCTACATTTTCAAGTGGTTGGTTACTTATGGTCACTGGTTGTTGGTTTGGACTGTTTGTCATGATCTTAGTTTTCTTTGTATTTGTTTTCTTTGTATTTATTCTCAGTCCCACCATTTCTGCTGTGCAGTTTAGTCTATTACTTTTCTCTTGTATATGTTTATGTTTATGTGATAGGAGTGCTATATCATCTGCAAAATCAAGGTCCTCAAGCATGGTGAATGGAGTCCATCGTATGCCTCTTAATGTCCTGTCTACTGTGTTCTTTAGTATACAATCAATCACAAGGTTGAAGAGGAGAGATGACATAACACATCCCTGTCTTACACCCGTCTTTACTGAGAAAGATGTATTGTAATTTTTTATACTACTGGAAAAGTCTTTATAGAAGAGAGCAATTATGTTGACTATTTTTTCTGGAATTCCAAAATGTCGTTAAATTTTCCACAGACCGTCTCTATGGACGCTGTCAAAAGCTTTCTCATTGATACAGCTCAAGAGATTCTGTATGCCTGTTCCTTTCCCAACACACGTTCATACTCCAGAGAAAATATCCAGATGATGCGAACTACCAGGGTCCTCTGGAGGTATGCTTGCCACTGTACATGGAGCCTGCATGTCTGCACCGTTCTTAGCTGCTTTCACAGCATATATATTATGCTGGCAATCTTGTTATCAGGCCAGCAGACAGTTGCTGTGACTACCTCCATCTCCTTTCTCAAACTAGATGTTGTATCATATCGTAGTCTTTGTTACCATTCACTTTTGTAATGAACTTTCCTGAACTTGTTCTGCCTCTTACACTGAGCCATCGGAAGAAGGGGAAAATATTTAACCATGTTTAACTTAATTTTTCCCAATGGGAGTTTCAGGGTCCCATTGTGGGGAAAACCAGAATAGACCCACTCCAACAAGCATGTTGTAAGAGTTGACTGATTGGAGGCTTCCTTCAGAGTCAAAGTGTGTCTACCTGAGAGGCAAGGAACCAACAGTCTGCATACAAATAAGCAAGATCTGTAAAATGGATGCACATGCAACACTCAGGTCCTGGAACAAAGCCAAAGTCCAGAAATGGACGAACAACCAGGTCTTTCCAATCCATTGTTTGTCAACCAATAGCTATAACATTGTCACAGGATATGATCAACATTGTCACAGGTTGTGATCATAGGGTACTATCATCAGTTTTGCTGTTATTCATCTAGGATTCGATCCGTGTGCAGAGTCATTCAAAGGCCTGGCTGACCTCATGGAGAAAGAGAATGGAATGCAACAACAGCAGCATTATCTCCACCTTGCTCAGCAACAGCAACAACACAAACTGGGTTTATCTGCCCCGTCAGACATTCTCACTCACCATGCTCCACTGTCACCTCTCCAGAACAACAGCGAGTTTTTAAGGAGTGTACCTGTCCCCCCAGGTTTCTCATTTTCACATTTACAACAGCAGCAACAGCAGCATCTTCATCAACAACAGCAGTTTTTCAGACAAGGTCAGTGTGGTTTGAAAAAAAGTGTTATTTTGCTCACTTTTAATGTCAGCACTCTTGTTTATGGTAGTGAAACTTGGTTGACTTTTTGAGTTCTTTTTTTTTTCTTCAGTGTTTTCTTTAAAGAGAAATGGCTAAATAGCTTTCACATGTATTGCTTATGAAGAACACTTGGTATTAAGTGACAAGACAAGATCACGAACATTGAGGTGTTGGGGGAAAAAAGTAGATATCACGTAACAGATCTTTCAAAGCTTTCTTCTAAGACTCAAGATGGCTGGGACATAATTGGAGATAGAGTGGATGATAGAGTCCCTAAGGAATCCTCTGTGGTGAATTAAAGAAAGATGATGTCAAGGCCGGCCTCTAGTACTGTCTAAAGATGTGTGCAAGTGGGACATGAATGAAACAGGTGTTGAGGAGAGGAGAAAAATCAGGCAGGGAATAGGAATAAGAACAACAAGCTATAGGGAAAAGATGTTAACTGAAAGAAAGTTGTACAGGGTAAAAATTTGTTTCTAAACAATGTCAAATTCTTTGCAGCTTTTCCTTTTTTTGTCTTTTAAAAGAAAAATGCAGTCATTTTTGTGACTTATCTTTCTCTCCTTCTCCCCAGAAAAGAATATTGAACGTATTCAGCCAGCATCCCCAAAGGGGAAGCTTTTGGTTATAATTATGACTGTTTTTATGTGTGCCAAATAAAATGGCTTATCATTGCTCAGGACCAAGTAGCACTGAAAAGGACTCGTACAGTGTGGATACTATCAAAAGAGCCAGATCAAAATACTTTCCCGACCAACGTCTACTGGCCATCCAATGGGTGACTTGGTTGTCGATGGTTATTTTTGTTCCCAGTTTGTGTAGAATGTAGATGACCTGCTTGGCAACCTCATCAGATCTTTGAGATTTTTTTTTTCTGGCTTCTGATTACAGTTTCTAGGGATATATTATGTGGTAGTCTCCCCTTACCTTCTGTGTACACACGGCTGAGCACATTCAGCATCCTGTCCGGATAGCTGAGCTATTTGTGGCCCTGTTGAGCGTCATGATGGCCTGGAGTGAATGGTGATGGATGGTAACAGTTTTCGGAGAATGAGGCAGGGGCAGACCTCTGCACAAGTGGGTACAAGACAGTGAAGATGGCATTGGCTATGAAAAGAGATCATCATCATCAAGTGCCTTGCCAGCTGGCACAGGCGGTCCTGCATCTCCACAGATCTCAGTCTCTGGTGTTCTGGATCAATTCCATTGATGATATTCCTCCATGCCACTGTCTTAAGCCATCCACCATCATTTCTTGTGGTCTGCCTCTGCCTCTTCTACCAGTGATCTTTCCAGTAATCACAATATTTTCCAGTGCTCTGTCTGCAAAAGGTAGATACAAGACACTAAAGATGCATTGGCTATGAAAGCACATAGGGCTGGAGAATTGGCTTGAGAAATAAAGACTTTCAGGCATGAGGTGAGGAGGGCAACGTTCTGTACATGGCCTGCTGCTTTATCACTCTGTCTTCTTTCAGAAACATTAGCCTGTATGGATTATCTCTTTGTTTCCCCAGAACTGAATGGCTCGAAAATGTTAGATCATCTACCACAGCTGAACCCAGCAGCTCATCAAAGGTTTCCTCCAAGCTCAGGGTATCACAGCCTGTCACCAGATCTGCATGTACAACAGTCACTGCAGGTAGGTATCGTTGACTGTAAATAGTATTTGTCTTTCACTTAGACTGGGACAGAAACTGCAACAGAAGAGATGCCTACCATCAGCTGTTCATAGTTTGACTGCTTATATTGAGCTAGAACAGAGGTTTCCAACTATTTTCACTTGCGGGGCCCTTTTAGAATAAGTTTATATAGATCTAACGTACCCTATGTTTTACAAGTTTAGAAGTAATATTGAGGTAACGGAGCCCTTTAGTTTGATTAGAAGCCCAAATTTTAAAAAATGAGTATCGTCACGGGCCAGAGCTTCGAGTCAAGTCATAGAAAGATCATCTATATAGTATACTGGCATTCATCCACAGACCACTTGCTGGACCTCCGCCGGAGCTACTCGGCAGAAAGTTCTAAATTTAATATCATTCAGATCTTGTTAATTTTTTTCTGGAGCCGGGGTCGGAGCCACTGGGAAGTGCAAGCAAAGACTTAGGGCTCCACAGGGCACCGTTTGGGAATCGTTGAGGGGAAGATTCAACAAAAGGGATGCATGCAGCTAGAGGTGCATAGCTTGACCACTTGTATTGTGGTCAGCAATTAGAGCTGACCAAAAGCCACCACTCTGACCATGAATGCAGGCTACATCATTGTTGGAGACAGAGTAGGAATCCTAGAGGAAGCCAGACAAGCTCCTCAGTTAGACTTGAAGTCGAAGGATGCAGATCCCTGTGTTTGTTCCGCTGCCCAAAGAGATAGAAAGAAAAGAATAGACCCACTGCCTTCTTAACAAGCATATCTTGTGAGGTGACTAGGGAAGTTTCCCTCAAAGTTGGAGTGCATCCCCTGAGAGAGGATGAACCAACAGTCTGCATTTATAGATAAGCCTGATCTGTAAAATGGATATGCACACAAAACTCTTGGAACAAGATAAAGTCCAGAAGTAGATTAATGACCAAAACTTTCTTTACTACTTTCTGACCATAGCTTGGCTATACACACACACAGTTATTACATTGATCTGGTGAATGCTAAGAAGAAGAAGATGAGGATACGGATAACTACAGCTTCACAATAAATGGTGCACCATAGCCAGTCACAAAGAAAATTCAGACCTATACAAGTACACAAATATTAGGTGACTCCTTGAACATGATGAAGAGAATATGGTCTGAATACATACATGTGTAGGACATGTTTTGAAACAGTGCATCAGTCCACAGTTATAATTACTTTTAGTTTTGTTCATTTGTTTTCCCCACTTATTCCCTCCCTGTGTGGGTTCTGGGGCCCTATTTTTGGGGAAAAAAGAATAAACCCTCTGTCCCTCTATTCATGTTTTCCCCACTTATTCCCTCCCTGTGTGTGTTCTGGGGCCCTATTTTGGGGGAATAAAGAATAAACCCTCTGTCCCTCTATTAATGTTTTCCCCACTTATTCCCTCCCTGTGTGTGTTCTGGGGCCCTATTTTGGGGGAATAAAGAATAAACCCTCTGTCCCTCGGACAAGCATGTCATAAAAGACCACTAATTAGGGGTTTTCCCTTTAAAGTCGGAGTGCATCTGTCTGAAAGTAAAGGAACTAACAGTCTGCATATAAATAAGCTGTATCTGTAAAATGGATGTGCATGCAAAATTCAAGTTCTGGAACAAGACAAACAATCATTATCTGCCAGAGTTTACAGCCTGTGAATGGGAAGAAGAAGAAAAGTTTTCACTTTTGTGAATGCAGCTGAGGGCAGTTTATTACCTGGCGTATTTTGCTGTGTTTCTTGCCATGAGGAGAGATCAGTTTACTTCGACTGACATGATGTATCTGGGTCGGAAAGTTTAATTATGGCTGCCTTTGTTTTGTAAACCTTAGAATGTGGGTACTGTATGCACATAAAAACTACTTTAAGGAACTTTGGGGGGGGGGGGGGGGGGGGGGGGGGAGTCAAAGAAGAAAAGGGGAAAGATGAACCTGGAATGACACCATCAAGAAATGGACAGGACTAAGTTATCATAAGCTTATTCATCAAGCAGAAGACGGAGAAAGATGGTGGTTTTGTGTGGGCTAGTGCTTCCATCAATACACCTCCACGACCCTAATAGGTCAAGGGTTGTTATGTTACTGTATGTGCAAAGAGAAACAGTTTGTGCTAAATTTAAATTTGGTATGGCAAACCACTCTCTTGATCTTCCAGTGATAAGACGAAAAATATTTAGAGCAGTGGATCGCGACCCCTTTGGGAGAGGGGAAAGAGGGGGGGGGGGGGTTAGGTGACCCTTTCACGGGGATTGCCTGTCTACCAGAAAACACATATTCACTGAAGTTATAAAGTTGGAATGATAATTGTATGGTTGGGGGTCACCACAGTATGATGAACAGTATTAAAGGGTCGCAGCATGAGAAAGGTTGAAAACCACTTCTATAGAGTCAGTCATAGTCACATCGTTGTCCTGCTGAAGTTGAGCAGTTATATAGTACACAGTGCTCGCAGTCTATTTCATTCTATCTTGTGCAGTCCCTTTGATATCATGGATGGAATCTGTTCCAGCACCTTTGGCGTTTCTCATCAGCGTTCGCTTGAGAGATAATGTGATTTGTGTATTTCTTCTTTATCAGCGATCTCTGGTTATGCGCTTAATCCACGGTGGACCATAGACTGGGATGGCATCTCAAGGTCTCTTAGGTTTCCCCAAAGTTTAGTTGTCAGGTCTACTGGGTGTGGCCACATATTGCTTTACAACTCTGCCAGGAGAGGACAGTCTTGCAAGACATGTTGTTCTGGAGTCTGTTCAGCATAAACACCATGACAGAGAGCTGTTTGGCTCATACCTGATTTAATGAGTATTGGTTGAGTCTGCAGTGTCGATTGCTTAAGCTAAAAACTGACTTTTTTTCACATGCTTGAGGAAATCTTGTTCATGATTATAACCTGTGTTAGTTTTCCAATCTGTTTATGGTTTTTTTCTTAATGAGAGTTTTTACTTTTGCAAAAGATAGTGGCTGGTAGATTTGTGATTTGCTGCTGCCTTCCTGGGCCTAAGCGTCAGTGCTTTCATTGCCTTAATGTATTTCAGAAGGAAGAATTCATTTTGTGTGTGTGTGTGCTTCTTTAGATATTGATGTAACTGTATACAGATGTAATTGACAAGATAATAGCAAACTATACCAGGCAATAAATTGTGCAGTGTACTGTGTCCGCATTATTTAAAATACTATATCAAGGTTGTGTTTTTTTCTTTAGCGTGAATTCTGCAGTATGAAAGACATGCAAGAGCAGCTGCGATCAATGCTGCCTAACATAAACATAAGCTTCGGTTCTGTCCCACATCAGCAGCAAGCTCAGCAACAGCAGCAGCTGGCTCAACAGCAGCTGCAGCAGCAACAGCAAGCTGCTGCATCACTACAGCAGACACATCAGAATAACCTGGTCAGCAAAAGTAAGTTGAGCTATTTTTTTTGTGGTTGGCAGTTTAAGGGTTAATTTTGTGCATCATTGTATCTCTGCATTGAATGTTTCAATTATATTTCAGGGAATGAATTTTGTTATTTTGAATCTGTAGACTAGTTTCAGGGGTTTCCCCGCTGACTCTGGGGCCCCTTTTTGGGGTAGGGAAAGAAAAGAATAGACCCTTCCACAAGCATGTGATAAAAGCTGACTAATTAGGGTGCTTCCTTAAGTCGGAGTGGCCAGGCACCACAAAATACTGAACGTGTGCTACAGCCACAAGCAGATAGAAAGGATACAGAATGAGGCTGTGTGCATTATACTTGGATGTACAAGAGATACAGCTTGTAGGCCGATGCGCTAACTTGATTTTCCAACCATGGAGGACAGGATTTGAATTTGCAGAGCAGGTGCCTATCTCAGAGTCAATGCAGATACACGACACTCGCTGTATGGTGAAATTAGGAAGAAAAAAGGCAGCAGGTTAAGAAGAGGAAATTTGTGGATGGGTCAAGATGAGAACATTATTCAGCATGTGTGTTCACTTGAGGACATAGAAGCTGGTGAGGAATGGGTACAAGTACCAGCAGAGCGCTGTACGACCTTTTCTGTTTGCATCTGACTAGAAAGTCTGACCGCTGTTGATGCAGAAGTGCAGGCTTTGATTTTCGAGAATTCTCTACAGGGGGATGCTGTCATTGGGTCTGTGAGAAGCTCTTGGGGTTTTACAGCTCAGGTTGGAGTTAAAATTGTGACGCAAGATTCAAGTGCTGTTGCCTTGACAACAAGTAGTCTGACTGAGGAGATCATGGCAGTGACACAAAGCAATAACATGACTGGAGACGCAAACCTTTTTCTGCACATTTTTACTCAGTGTTTCAATGAGTATGTTCAGGAAGAAAGAGAAGGGCTGGGTCCGGAGACAGTGGTTGGGGTCTCTGAAGCGGTCGAGGGTGACACATATCAGTTTCATATGTGTAAGGAAATGCGCAAGCTGAGTGGCTTGCAGGTAAAACTGCTGTGAAGTGCGTTTGAGCCGTGAACTTTGCTTATACTTTGAATGCTCTACGAGAATTTCATGAGCTGCTACACACTACAGGATTTACTAAGGGGTAGACCCGAGCACTTATGGACTGAATGGTTCAATGTGCAATGAGGATAATCTGTCAGCTAACTAACTAGAGGGCTGTTGCCTTCTCATCTGAAAACTCCTGGCAAAGAGAATGAAAAGAGGAAGAAGAGTGTTTTCAGACATGTTATGAGAAAGATTGGGTCTAGACTGGCAAGATGGATGGGAAGCGAGCGAGGAGACGGGAAGGATTACATATCTGGGTGGCTTGGCTGTATGGATGGGGTGAGACAGGAACAGTTATTATAGAAACAGGGTTCCTACAGGGGACCTAGCCAGGTTATATAGGATCAATGTTTACTTTAAAGTCAGAACACATCTGCCTGAGAGAGAGGAACCAGCAGTCAGCACACAAGTCACATTTGTAAAACAGTTTTGCCCACAAAATTCAAGTCCAAGACCAAAGTCCTGGATTAAGTTTAGATCAACAAAGCATGACTTAAGAAGAAGAAGTAGAATAGTCTGTTTTTTTGCCCCCCTAAATGTTTGACATTTTCTCCATCACATCTGTTCATTGTAGATTGGCAGTTGTCGACTTCTCCAGACTCCTCCGTGTGGAACGACCCGGCAATTGTCACCACTAGTCAGTTCACAGAATCTGCAGGTAAAATCTTCTAAATACGGGGGACAGCTTTTACAATTCTTGTGTCCCACTAGGTGCTGCTGAATTATTGAATCTCTTGTGTCCGTTAACCCTTTCAACACCAAGAATCTTAAATAATGGTCTTTTTTCTAATTTCATTACAGAGAAGCACATCTGTACATATGTAGCTCTCTGAAACTTATTTAAAAAAAATTAAAATCTGAAGTCTGAGGGAAGAGGAAGGGTTGAAAACCATGACACTGAGAAGATGGGCTTGTGTAGTGGCCTCTGACAAATTGAAGCCATCAAGTCGCTTAAAAGAAAAAAAAAATCTATTTCTGGGAGTAATGCTGCCATTATTATTATTCTTTGTGTTGACCGGCTGCAAACTCTGGTGTAAAGTTCTGGTTGTTTGTCCACTTCTGGACTCTAGTCCTGTTCCAGAACCTGAGTGTTGTGTGTAAATCCATTTCACAGGTCTGACTCATTTGCGTGCAGACTGTTGGTTCCCTGCCTCTGAGGCACATGTGCTCCAACTTTGAATGAAGCTCCCAATCAGTTGACTCTTACAACATGCTTTAGGGCAGGCAGTAGGTCTATTCTTGTTTCCCCCCACAATGGGGCCCCGCCGTCGCCAGTACCACAGCTGTTAAATAGGTGTAGCTGCCACTGCCCAAAGACATCAGAAACACATAAATGCTGGAAAACAAATCTCTCACCACAGGGTTAAACAATTATTGTATCTTTTTTAATGCATCATATATTGTATGCATTTTAAATGAGAGCTGTCCTGTGTGTTCTGGGGTCCCATTGTGGGGGAAACAAGAATAGACCCACTGACTCCCTAACAAACATGTTGTAGAAGTTGACTTATTGGAGTATATCATCCTGAGAGGCAAGGAGCCAAGAGTCTGCATGCGTGGAGACGGCACCTGATTGATTGAAACTCCACTACCTGTTTTTTTTTTTTTAACAGATAATGCAATTAGTTTATGTTGCAACTATGCATAGATAATGAAAATTATATACAAGCATATATTTTAACTGAACATGTGTAACTATTTTATAGCTTTGGCTCCATCAGCGGTTTTAAAGCACTGGTTCCGTTAGATATTTTTTAGCATTGGCTGCTCCATTGGATTGCAAGATTGATTTGTCTTTTTGCAGGAATATTCCAAGACACAGCTTCGCACTTGCTGAAATCACTGCAGAATCAGATGACAGAAACAGAAGCTCCTTTCCACAGACTACCTTTTGTGCAACGTTTTCCCTTGGCAAGTGTCGGAGGCTGGCCTCCTCACCACACCTACAACCCTCCACCAGGCTTCAGGGCAAGTCTGTCCAGCCAGCAGACGTCAGAAGCTCACAAGATGGCAGAAGGTTCATAAAGTCTACTTCTCCCTCTTTTAGGATATGATAAACCTAAAATAAACACCACGGGGAACCATCTTTTGGGATAGAGTGCTTGGAAATTGTTTCTTCTAGTATTTACCCCTAAAGGACGTTTCGCATGTTGTTTTGTAGATTGCAGCTAGGATGCGATATTTACACCTTTTGGCGCAGCATATTTAATTTCAGCAAACTCTTCATAAATCGCCTTTCACAACCTGCATATTAAGGGGTAGCAGATCTATAACAAGGTCGGTTCTTCTTTCTCTAGTTCACACTTGTCCAGCTTTGCATGATTTTCTGTAATTTCAGTAGTCTTGCAAACCCTGTTGGTTTCTTGAATGCTGGTCGACCTTAGCCTCTTGTATTTTAAACCACATCCCACTCTTTTCAGAGTTCCTAATTTGTTCATTCATATAGAACTTTCTTGGCAGCTGACCTAAAGTAATCTTCTTTCTCATGTTTCATTGGCTGTAAACTCTGGTGGAAAGTTCTGGTTGTTCGTCCACCTCTGAACTCTGGTCTCGTTCCAGAACTTTAGTTTAGTGAACACATCTGATTTATTTGAATGCAGACTGTTAGTTTGTTGCCTTTTGGGCAGATGCCCTCCAAATTTGAAGGAAGCACACCTAGTTAGTTAACTTTTAAAACTTGCTTGTTGGGAGGCAGTGGATTTGTATTCCCCCCCTCCACAAAATGGAGCCCCAGAACCCAAACGGGAAATAATCTAGATGATTATAAAGAGGCTGATTTGTCAAGATGAAACCGCTAGGTCTCATAAAGAAGACTTTAGTTTAAAAAGGTTAAAATTGAGAGAATCGACCTCATTGCACTGAGTTTTATCCCAAATGGCTCGGCCTCTCTCCAGAGAGCGGCGCACAGAGCACAAACTGTAGCTCTGGCAACAGCCCCCAGGGATTTCTATAAAAATTGCACTCGTAAACGGAAAGGCACAACCATAAAACATACCAATGACGTTCAGATCACGAGGCAGACGGCTTGACCACTTTGCCACTGAGTGCTGAGTTTGACATTCGGTTAGGGAGGAAGATGTTTACTCTGTCAGGGGCAGCAATAACAATCCTAACCTGCGCAGTTTGTGGCAGCTGCACTGGCACAGGCAGTAAAGCGTTTTTCCCCCTGACATTTACTAAATATAGCATTCAGATTGGTTTTCCTGTAAAATAATGGCTTTATTAGTAGGATTTTGTGAGTGTAATTTTTCCATTAGTCGCGGTGTTAGTCTGTGACGGGGTCACAGAATTAAAATCAAATGTGTCACAACAAACATTTATTGCTCAGGCTCACAGAGATGTGACCCAGTTAATTCTCTGCTGCATTTATGTTTACTTACGACTCCCCATGTGGAATTTCATATTGCTTCAATTAGTAAATGGAATTGTCATAATTGGGGGAGGGGGGGGGGGGGGGGGGTGTGTGTGTGTGTCTGTGTAAAATGATTATTTATACAGAATTCTGTTTTAGGGAATTCTCTAATTATAGCTCAGTGACAGGGTTTGTTTCTTAGGTCGCCAGAGCGACAGGGTTACGGGTGTGTACAGACAGTTTACCTGAAATGATAAACAGAAGTTTGTCTTTTTTCTTTGTGGCCGTGTGATGAGAAACGACCAAAAAGAAAATGTGACAGCAGTAAAGCCTCATGGTGGGGGGGGGGGGGGGGGGGGATTCTGGACGTTTTTTGTGTGTGTGGGTCATGTCAGGAAAAAGGTGTCAGCATACGAATGTGTATATGCTGTTGATTACTTCTTCTGCGTTGGCCTTTCTAAGGATGGTGTGGTCTGCAGCTAGGCTGTGATATCTGCAGCTTTTGGCCCAGAACATAGTTTTAGTAAATCCTAAATTTGTCAACTATTATGATATACTTGCTAAGGAGCAATGGACCTTTTTTCCTTTCGATACGCCACCTCCCTTTCCTTCCCAACTGGCACCTTGGAACAGTCGATTACCAGAAGTGAGGTATGATTGTGCCTGCCAGTCGACAAGGCACCAATTGATGATGATTGTGCCTGCCAGTCGACAAGGCACTTAATGATGGTAGCGATGATATAACAGGTTCGACCTAATTTTTAGGACACTTGTTTTCCTATGTGCGTTCCGGGGCTCCATTTTGAAGAACAAAGATTAGTAGATCTACTCTCCCCCCTCCCCCTCTCCCACACCCTCCCCTCCAACAAGCAAAGTAGTAGGTGGTGGCTAATTTGAGATGTTTCGCTCAGAGTTGGGGTGCATCCACCTGAGAGGCAAGAAACCAACAGTCTGCCTACAATTAAGCCAGATCTGTAAAACATATGTGCATGCAAAACTCAAATTCTGGATCAAGACCAAAGTCCGGGAGTGGACAAACACCCAGAACTTTCCGCCAGAGTTTACAGCCGTTAAGTGCTAAGAAAAAGAAGTGCTCTTGCTAACATTCAGTGTAAGTGAAAATTATTGCATAAGTGATTCCCAAACTGCACCGCGCCGTGGCACCCCGAGACCTCTTCACGGTGGTGCCGTGAAATATTAGAGGATAACGTGAATAGTCATAATTTTTACTGAAAAAAGGTGCAGTGACTAAGAAAAGTTTAGGAAACACTGACATAAGATATTTTCAGTAATTATTTTTTTTGGTATCTTTCAATGCTTCGGTGAATGGAACGGATATTTTAAGTATTTTTTTTCCTTTCTTTTTCAGTGCTTCAGTGAATGAAATGGACAACTTTTGGCTGAGGTTAACAAATCTACAGATAGGATCTAAAGCAGGAATATTTGTGTGATGTCATGTGTGAACAGTGAGATGAGGTTTTACCCTGCCTACCTCCCCCTACAGGCTTTCTCAGCGGGCATACCCGGCAACCAGCATCTCCAGGGATTATATTTTTGTTTGAATATCTTTTTTTTTTTTTTGTGAAGTGTTTATTTTTTTTTTGTTTCACTCACCTTTTAACTTTTTTCTTCATTAATCAGTTTATCAGAATCATCATTTAATTGGCACACCTGTAGATTGCGAGCCCTTTGTGATGTTTGAACCGCACAAAATGATGATGATGATATTCCCTTTGCTTAAACTGGTGTCGTTTAAATCACTCAGGTGCCGCCACCCCCGCAGTGACGGTGGCGGATGTGCAGGTCTTTTTCCGTGGATGTCCGCTCTCTCAGACTGTGGCCCCTCTGGCTGTTGATGTTTTATTGCCACTTGTATTGCAATCTGCTTCTTGCTCTCTTTCCTTAACTTTTCTGTCCTGTGTGGTTTTTATAAGTGTCTTTTAAAATGCCTGAAATATTGCATCTCTCGTATTCTCATTTTTTATTTTTATTTTTATTTTTCTCAGCAGCTCTCTATTCATTCCTGGTCGTCTCTGTATGTGACTGTTTTTATTTCCATCAAATACAAACTGTTCTTCTGTGTATCCACATCCCTAGGTTTTGTTTCCATGAAATAACTGTTCTTCTGTGAATCCACATCCCCAAGTTTTGTTTCCATGAAATACAACCTGTTCTTCTGTGAATTCACACCCCAGGGTTTGTTTCCATGAAATACAACCTGTTCTTCTGTGAATTCACACCCCAGGGTTTGTTTCCATGAATAACAACCTGTTCTTCTGTGTATCCACATTCCCAGGTTTTGTTTCCATGAAATACAACCTGTTCTTCTGTGAATCCTGAATCCACACCCCAGGGTTTGTTTCCATGAAATACAACCTGTTCTTCTGTGTATCCACAGTCCCAGGTTTTGTTTCCATGAAATAAAACCTGTTCTTCTGTGAATCCACACCCCAGGGTTTGTTTCCATGAAATACAACCTGTTCTTCTGTGTATCCACATCCCCAGGGTTTGTTTCCATGAAATACAACCTGTTCTTTTGTGTATCCACATCCCCAGGTTTTGTTTCCCTAAATACAACCTGTTCTTCTGTGTATCCACATCCCCAGGTTTTGTTTCCCAGAAATACAACCTGTTCTTCTGTGTATCCACATCCCTAGATTTTGTTTCCATGAAATACAACCTGTTCTTCTGTGTATCCACATCCATAGGTTTTGTTTCCATGAAATACAACCTGTTCTTCTGTGTATCCACATCCCTAGATTTTGTTTCCATGAAATACAACCTGTTCTTCTGTGTATCCACATCCCCAGGTTTTGTTTCCCAGAAATACAACCTGTTCTTCTGTGTATCCACATCCCTAGATTTTGTTTCCATGAAATACAACCTGTTCTTCTGTGTATCCACACCCCAGGGTTTGTTTCCATGAAATACAACCTGTTCTTCTGTGTATCCACATCCCCAGGGTTTGTTTCCATGAAATACAACTTGTTCTTCTGTGTATCCACATCCATAGGTTTTGTTTCCATGAAATACAACCTGTTCTTCTGTGTATCCACATCCCCAGGGTTTGTTTCCATGAAATACAACCTGTTCTTCTGTGTATCCACATCCATAGGTTTTGTTTCCATGAAATACAACCTGTTCTTCTGTGTATCCACATCCCTACCTAGGTTTTGTTTCCATGAAATACAACCTGTTTTTCTGTGTATTCACATCCTTAGGGTTTGTTTCCATGAAATACAACCTGTTCTTCTGTGAATCCACACCCCAGGGTTTGTTTCCATGAAATACAACCTGTTCTTCTGTGTATTCACATTCCTGTGGCCTCCGTTAATCTGTCTAATTGCTTCTTCATTGTGCACGGCACCACACCATATAGCAGGGTTGAATATACTTTTGTCAGATCAGTTGTCATTGTCAAGCATTCAGTGTTGATGGAATCAGTCTGTGGTGAATTGTCACTGTTGCTGAATACTACGTTAATCCTGCATCGCAACCCACAGGTTAATTTGTTGTGCCATTCAGTGACTTAAGGTCATTCTGCTTTTACTGCAGGTTATATCAACCTGAATATTTTCAGCTCTCGCCACAGCTGATTTATAAAACAGCTCAGGAAAACGAGTGGAAGAAATTTAGACTTCTTTTAACTTAATGCAGTGCTGTAGAAAACAAATTCATTCCTAATGCAACGTGAAATGTGATCTCATTATTGTAGACACTTTAAAGGTGCTCTTATTGTTAGTGCGAAACTGAAGATTCACTCTTCCCTGTTGTGATAACTTCCCCAATATAACGTGGACGTTTTCAATGGTAATGTGGCATGTAGCCAGTCTCTGGGGTAATAAAACATGTTTTCAATATCAGAGGTAACAGTGTGTAGCCAGTCTCTGGGGTAATAAAACATGTTTTCAATAATAGAGGTAACAGTGCGTAGCCAGTCTCTGTGTTAATAAAACATGTTTTCAATATCAGAGGTAACTGTGTAGGCAGTCTCAGGGGTAATAAAACATGTTGTCAGTCTTAACGGTAACCAGTCTAAATGATGATATATATATATATGTAACTTTTAGGCAGTGGGAACAGTCAGTGTTATAAGTTTGAAGCGGGCTTGTCTTCAAATGAGAAACTAAGAAGAAAATGTGGAGTCGTTGAAAATAGATGGCAAGCACAAAGCCTCTTCTTGGACCCAGAAGAAATTAAAGGTTGTGATACCATCTCTACCTGCTTTTAGTCCAAGAAGAAACTAGAATCAGCGCTTGTAATACCATCTCTACCCACTCTTAGGCCAAGAAGAAATTAGGAGATAATACTTGTGGTACAATCTCTACCCACTCTTAGGCCAAGAAGAAATTAGGAGATAATACTTGTGGTACAATCTCTACCCACTCTTAGGCCAAGAAGAAATTAGGAGATAATACTTGTGGTACAATCTCTACCCACTCTTTGACCAAGAAGAAATTAGGAGTTAATACTGGTGTTACAATCTCTACCCACTCTTAGGCCAAGAAGAAATTAGGAACAATGCTGCTGGTACAATCTCTGACCACTCTTTGACCAAGAATAAATTAGGAGTTAATACTGGTGTTACAATCTCTACCCACTCTTAGGCCAAGAAGAAATTAGGAACAATGCTGCTGGTACAATCTCTACCCACTCTTAGGCCAAGAAGAAATTAGGAGTTAATACTGGTTTTACAATCTCTACCCACTCTGACCAAGAAGAAATTAGGAGTTAATACTGGTGTTAAATCTCTACCCACTCTTAGGCCAAGAAGAAATTAGGAGTTAATACTGGTGTTAAATCTCTACCCACTCTTAGGCCAAGAAGAAATTACAGTTGATGCTGGCGGTACAATCTCTACCCACTCTTTGACCAAGAAGAAATTAAACAATCTCTACCCACTCTTAGACCAAGAAGAAATTAGTCAGTCAGTCAGTACAAGTGATAATTCTGTGAGCACACATTCATATAAGAAACCAGAATCCAGGCATGTAGTACTCTGTAGAATCATGATGTCCATTCTGAGACCAAGAAGGTAACACAACAAATGCTGGTATTCTATGCTTGCTCATGTGAGAGAAAGAAAAAAAAACAAGCATTGAAGCAGAAATTAAATTCAAGCAGTATATTTATCTGTGACTAGTTTGTTGTATGTGTGAGAGTTGTGTTGTGTGTGTGTGTGTGAGTTTGTAGGTAGTCCTACCTTGTGATAGCTGAGTTAGGAACGCTACAGCACTTGGGGCATTCCCATAAGTGCTCTGTCACCATCTTCAGCAGCCAGTGCAGAGTTCCAGTTTGGATGGTACCGGTTGGATTTATTTCCATCTTGACTTTCTCTGAGTATTTATTTTGAATAACGCATGAAATAACTCAACTGAACAAAGATGACAAATAATTCAAAACAACAAAGATAACTATCTGAATAAACTTTAGGATGAAATATATTATCTCAAAAAGTATTGTGGGGGAAAAAAAAAACATTCTACAATTTTATTCTGAGAGATTAAAAAAATTTCTTCTTTTCGGTAGTCTTAATGACATACTGTCAACTCCAAGCACAATCAAGCAACACACACACACAAAAACTGGTATTCGAGGAAAGGAAAGAGCACATGAGCTGGCAGTAGATCATTCACACAAACTCATCCACCACAACAACAAAACAGCCCTTAAGCAGTCATTCAAGGGAGAGTGGAGAAGGCAGACTGACATCAGTTTTTAGGTTTAAGACTAGACACTGCAGTTTTAAAGCAGACCTACACACAGGATAGGCAAACAATCTGCCACCTGTAAATGTGGAGAGCAGACAAGACTCCTGAGCATGTACACCCGCAGAACTACGGTAACTACTCCCAGCAAAGGTGAATCTGGTCCAGTGGAGCTACATTACAAGTGAAGCAGTGGGGGACCAGAGGCAACTTGAGATGCACTGTCCTGTTTGTGACCCATATGGGACTGAATCTTTATACCATGGCTGATATCAAATGCAGAAGATGAAATGAGTTCCAATGTGAACAAAATCATACATTTGAAACAAGACAAACGGGCATGTTTGTTTACTTTGGTTAGTTGTGTATCCTTTACAGGTCGTTGCAGAACCAAACCCAGCAGCCCCTGGCTGTTGTGTGGTTTCTCTAGGCAAATTTACGACAAGTAGTTTGCCATTGCTTTCTGGACGGTCTGCTCCCTGATACCACTGTGGAAACCAATGCAAGGCGCATGGCCCGCAGCTGGGATCGAACCCGGCACCCCAGCATTACGAAGCGTTCGCATCGACTTAGCCACAGAGCCGAAATTTGTTTGTTTCCTACTGGAGGGGATATGGAAGTGAATCTGATATGAGAAAATCACTGACGGTCTTCTACTACACACTGGGGTAG